CAGCTGTTTTGGAACTACAACTCCCATGAGGCATTGCAAGGCTCTGACAGCCACAGACATAACTCCCAGAGGCAGATGCATGTTGGGATTTGTAGTTTTGGCACAGCTGGAGTGCCAAGGTTCGCCACCACTGCTCTAGGGGGAAGTGCTGAGAGGGTTGGAAGCTCGGAGGTAACAAGCCCAGCTGAACCTAGCTGGCTTGTTAGGGCCTCTACAAGAACACTCAGGCTCCTAAGAGAAGGGCCCCACCCTAGAACCAGACATTGTGTCTGGTGGACTGGGGAGCAGACCGCCTGTGTGGCAATTCGCTTGTGGGGCAAGACAGCAGCCTGTGTGGCAAATGAGCAGCCTGTGTAGTAATCCACCTGTGTGGTGAGCAGCCTGTGTGGCCAGTGTGTTTGATACAGCCTGTGTGGAAAAGGTTTTGTTAAAAACACAACCTGAAGTCAGAGAGACATTGGAAATGTTATTTTGCCGTTAACAAGAAAACTATACTTTGTGTTGGAGAAACCCCAGCGAGGGCAAAACCTATGTGGATGTTTAAATAAAAATGGGCAGGAAGCCCTAAAAAGAAATTGTTTAAGAGTGGAAGCGTTCTGAATGCACTACCATTTGAAGCAAATCCTCACAATACATGCATACACACACACACATATACACATACACACGGGCTGTGCAAATTAACAATTAATTTCTCGATTAATCATTAATCTTTTTGATCGATTACATTTTTTTTGAAACTTTCTGCACGAGCGCCAGCCAAGCCAAGGCATTGGCCTATACACATACAGCACAGCAATGAATAAAATGAACTGAGATCACACTAATCCAGCACGTTATTATTCTGAGTTGCCCCACCCAAGCGGCGGCCATATTGAGTGGGGCACTTGAGATAAATAACGTGCTGGATTAGTGTGATCCTAGTTCATTTTATTAATTCATTGCTGTGCTGTATGTGTATAAGCCAATGTAGTTGGATCTCTATGTGCGTTATAATTAAATCGAAATTAATTGATAAAAAAATGTTTTGATTAATCGAACACGACAATTTTAATCATTACCAGCCCTACTTTAGTCCAAACACAATTACGGTAGTAATTTGTAGGAGGACGTTCGCTCACAAGATGGCCTTAATCAAATGAATGCTGGTGTCACCATGCGACAGGCAGGACAGTCAAAGAAAATGTAGGAAGCACAGTTGTCCTTCAAGGAGCGCAAGATTATTTTCCAATGGTATTTGAAATTCTAAAACGTTGTTTAAGGTTTAAGTACAACGACAAAGGAGGTGTGAGTATGCAACAGAACCTCCAACACGCCTAACAATTGCACGCATTTGTGATAAGTTTGATGTATGGTACTGTCTGTGATGCACACAAGGGAAGACACTTTGGTCAACGTTGCTCAAGCAGTAGCTCGCCGTAAACAGAAGTGTCTAGACGCTGATGGTAACCACCTCTTGTAATTGCAGAAGTCAAACGTGACTTGTATTCATCTTTTGTTATCGGCATAAATGAATACAGTTTTTTTCCCTTTCTTAAAATGTGTATACATTTTTTTAGCACCCTCAGAGTGTATATATATATATAGTAGGCTGAGCGCCCCCCACGCCATGCGCCTCGAAAAAATTCTCTTCCCGGCCTATACGCCCTGGCCTCCTGAAAGGTTCTCTAAACCGCCTGTTCTGATGAAAGGGCTGCTGTTGTCTCTTCCTGTCCTGAGGTAGCAGGCCAGACTTACCCCCCGTCACTCTCTTTATTGCCTCATCCAGGGGGGCTCCAAACACCACCTTGCCTGCAAATGGAATGGAGCACAGGCCCTGCTTTGAAGCGCCATCAGCCGACCAGTGCTTCAGCCACAG